CTTCAACATTGCATGCTGTTGAAGTGTTGATATTGTGTGAGGCGAGTTTTCCTTTTCTGTTGTCTCTTGTTGAATAAGGGAAGGTAGTGGTAATTAAGCGTTAGGATGAGTGTAGCGGGCTCAGATATTACAGATGACCAGGGAGAGGTGGAAGTCCCCGAAATTACGATGGAGTTCCGCAGACTGATCGGGGGTATGAGAATGCCCTCGTTTAGAGGCGAGACAACGGAGCTGCAGGAATGGATGCTGTCGATCCAAAAGAAACAAGTCATATATGGCTTGTCAGACCAGGAGATGGTCATGCTGGCATGCGAAGCAGCGGCCGGCCCAGTGTCCAAATATGTCGGAGGGCTATATAAGGAGGACCCTACCCTAACTTGGACAGAGCTGAAGTCTGCCCTGGTCCGACAGTACGCCAATGAGCGCACGGCCATTGAGGCAATTACGAAGTTGTTCAGAGTCCGGCAGGGAGATAAGGAAGCCATGTAGGATCTGGGAGAGAGAATAGCGGGCCTAGCGGCACTGGCGTTCCCGGAGCTGGCGACCCGAAACAGTGGTCCGATACAGGCCCTGTTAACCGATGTTTACATGGATGCGTTGAGCGATAGGGAGGAAGGACCGAGCACCCTGGCCGCAGCCATTGAAGCTCGCAACGGTGAACGACTTTGGGACAAAATAAGGGGTAGCGTAGCCAGGGACCCCGTGGGGACCAAGATAAGGAAAAAGAAAGAGCAGGTTGGGGGGCACGCGACCCAGAAGAAGAAGTAGAGGAAAATTGGGAATTGGAGACAGAGCTGAATAAACGAGAATGGGACTTGCAGTATGGATTCTATAAATCCACTCCAGGTCGGTATGGGCTAGTGTGCTGGACGTGTAAATATGCTGGGCACAGGGCTCGGGATTGTCCAACCAATTGGGGAGGAGACCCCAGGTCTCTGGGACCAAATTTGTACGACCTGTGGCGAATACGGGCACAAGGCTCGGTGGTGTACGGCGGCAGGGAACCGTAAATTAGGTATCAAGCGGATTAATGCGCTGTTACCAGCCACCAAGAAAGCAAAGAACCCGGGAAACGCCGCTGAGTCACCCGTGAAAGAGTAGGAGGCGGGGTGGCCCCAGTCCGAGCAAGACCTCTGAAATGTTGGACGTGTGGAGTGGTTGGTCATTTTCGGCCGATTGTCATGGAGAAGATGCTGGCATTGTGGGGGCGCAGGCCACATGAGGTGAACCTGCCCCACAAGGGAAGGAATCCCCAAGACGAACCGGCCGGGATTGAAATGAACTGGACAGAGGGGTAGAGCGGAAAAGCGCTATCATCCAAACCCCATCCCAGCCAGACGAGAAATGGGACCTCGAAGACATAAGGAACCCCCGTTGCTGGCCACTGCCTCTCGGTGGTCCAGAGGGGAGGCGAACAGAAAGGAATTTGGGAATGGAAGGAAGGCCCGAGTGTACGATTTGCTAAAAGAGGGGCCATATTTCACCTGCAATGTCTTGCTGGGAGGTAAGAAGGTTAGGGCCCTGGTTGATACTGGAGCATCAGTGTAACTGGTTACTTCCAGGACCTATAGACAGTTAGGGAGAAGGGAAAACTTGAGGCCAATAGATCTATCCATAAGCCAGGCCGATAGCAACAGAATGTGGATAGAGGGTATGACATGGTTGCCATTTCAATTAGCAAGGACTAGAGGTGTCATAAAGGTATATGTAGCGCCTGACTTGTGTGGCGAGTTGATTCTGGGGAGTGACTGGCTTAAACAGCATAAGGCCTAGATCCGTTTCGACCCAACCACCCTGACCTTGGACGGGGTAGGGATACGGCTAGGGGAAGACAATTATGAGCAGCTACCTGTAGTAGCCCAAGCAGATATAAAGTTGCCACCTAGAACCACTGTATCTGGGGAAGGCGAAATTATAGTACAGGGAGCCCTGAATGACGGGTTGTATGAGGTAATCCCCACAGATGGGTATAATAATTATAAGGGAGAATTGACAGTATGTAGTTTACTAGTGAAAAGATCAAGGACCGTACCCCTGCTTCTGACTAATTCGGCTACTAAAACCATCAGAATAAACCGATGAGAAGAGTTAACACGGGCTTGCCCTGTAAGAGAAGTCGAACAGGTGAGGATAAGAAGCAAAAATACGTCCGGGAACAAGACAGAGATTAGAGAATTGGCGGACAAGGACATAATAGTCCCTGAATGTTATAGAAGAGAATTAAGGGGTTTACTAAGTAGAAACCGGGAGGTAATAGCAATGACAGATAAGGAGCTAGAACAGACAGAGACAGTGGAGATGAGGATAGACACCGGTGATCATCCACCTATCAAGCTAAGGTCATATAGAACCCCAGTCCACAAAAGTAAATTAGTAGAGGAGGCAGTGAATGAAATGATGAACTCGGGGATAATTGAGAGATACAAATCTCCCTGGAGCTTCCCTATAGTGATAGTGGAAAAGAAAGATGGAGGGCATAGGTTTTGTGTGGATTTTCGCCTAACCCTAACGCGATTACAAAACCGTTAGCAGTGCCTCTCCCCCTGTTGATGACATTTTGGCTCTCCTAGGGAAGTCTAAGTGTTTTTCCACCTAGGATTTGAGATCGGGTTACTGGCAGGTGGCCCTGAACAAGGAGGACCAAGAAAAGATCGTGTTCACCTGTCACATTGGTCTTTTCAATTTTAGGGCTATGCCGTTTGGGTTTGGCAAATGCCTCGGGTGTGTTTAGTCAGCTCATGTCCATAATGCTGAATGGCATAGAGGCATTTGCCATGGCATATCTAGATGATATCATGGTATTTTCAAAATCACCTGAGGAGCATTTTGAACACCTGCAGCGTGTGTTCGACCGCCTAAGGAGGCATGGCTTGAAGCTGAAGCTGTCAAAATGTCAGTTTCTAAGAGAGAAGACAAAATACCTAGGGTTCGTGATAAATAAAGACGGAATAAAGACCAACCTAGACAAGGTAGCGGTAATAAGGGCCATGCCCGCGCCGAAAACTGTAAGGGAGATTAGGGGCTCTATAGGAGCCATAGGATATTATAGGAGGTTCATACCTGCATTTAGCCGGTTGGCGGGTCCTCTGATAGCCCTGACGAAGAAATACGCAAGGTTTAGGTGGATTAGGATTGCCAGCGTGCATTTGAGGCTTTAAAGGACCAGCTGACTGCTGTGCCCTTGTTAGCGTACCCAGACTTAGGTAAGCCCATGGTTCTGTACACTGATGGTAGTGATAGGTGCATCGGAGCAGTACTCGCGCAACCCTGTCCCAATAAGGATGGACCCGTTCGGTGGGGGGGGGTCTGAAGAGGTACCAATATATTTCCTTTCTTATCGGCTTTCCGAGACCCAACAAAGATGGCCGGTGATAGAGAAAGGGGCGTTCGCCATCCTGTACGCTGTGCAGAATTTGGACTATTATCTGAGTGGGGCAGTATTTACCATTAAGACAGATCACCAGCCCCTCAAATACCTGTTAGAGGCAGAGTGGACGAACAAAAAGATCCAACAGTGGGTGCTGAAGCTGAGTTGGTACAACTGTAAAATAAAGTACCTAGCCGGGAGGGATAACACCTGTGCTGATTTACTATCGAGGACTCCGAAACAGTTGCAAACGGAGTCCATCAAGTTAGAACCAGGTGTGGACGATAAGGCCTTCCAGATTAATGTAATTAACTCACACGGGTTAAAATGGAGACCTAATTGGGAAGATCAGGAGGCGGGTGAAACAGACCATTACAGAGACCATTACTGGATAGATATTGTTAGACAAAGTCAAGGGGATAGTGACATAACAGCCATTAGGTCTAGGGTAAAGGCAGGAAATACCTCCAAATATGTATTGCAGGATGATGTATTGTATTACCTTTCAGGGAAAGATAAGGAGGTAAGCTTGAAGATGGTGATACCCGAAAAGTTGAGGTCTGAGATCTTAGATCAGTGCCATAGAAAGTTGGGGCACATGGGGTTTGACAAGACGTATGGGTTAATAATAAGGAACTACTATTGGCTCAAGTTGTTTAATGATGATGTAGATTATGTAAAGAAATCTGTAACGTGCCAAGTGCAGAGTAGAGGAAGTTTGGCTGCCCCGGTTTTAGAGACAGATATTCCCCACTACCCGTTCCAGAAAATGAGTTTCGACATTTCGGGCCCTTATGGGCCAACTGATAGAGGGAATTATTACATATTAAGTTTTGTGGATTGGCTGTCAGATTGGCCTGAAGCATTCGCCATACCTGATAAAAAGGCGCGAACGGTGTCAGATATAATACTTGGCGAGATATTTCCCAGGCATGGGGTTCCCGAACAGTTGGTTACGGATAACGGTCCGGAAAATGTAAATCAGGTTATGAGGGAGTCGTTGGGAGAACTGAATATCTAACAGATAACCACCTCCGCATACCATCCCCAGAGTAACGCTAAGGTGGAGAGATTCCATAAGACTCTTGCTGATGTGCTGGCTAAATTAGCAGAGCATAATAGGGAGAATTGGGATATTTTTAACCCATGGCCGGGACATGGTCTTACCCATAGACAACTTATTAAGCCCTAGGAGGAAATACTTAGGGGAGGGTAATTTTAGAGCAGTAGCACACAATCTTTACACAGGTGAGGAAGAATTCGAAGAGCCCAGAAAAAGCGAAATGATAGGATAAATAAAAATAGAGAAGAGGTTTCTTTCCAAATAGGTGACTCGGTGTATTATAAAATACACCCGAGGGAGGGTAAACTGGACCAGAGGTGGAGCCCCTATTATAGAATAGGGGAACAGACAGGTCCAGTGTCCTTTGTGATATGGGATCAACTGAAATGGAAAGTGAAAAGAATACACGCAAATGACATAAAGTCAGCTGAGATAGAAGACAGGAAAGGGAACGGCATAGAGACGAAACAGAAAAACCTGAGGAGGACCACACTAGTGGAACCAGAACTACTCGGAAGTGATAGTGAAGCTAGTGAGGAGGTCGAAATTAGTCCCAATACCCTTCAAAGGCTAAGGGAGGAAACTCGACCCCCGGTTGGACACCCTGAGGAAGAGAATATTAAACCTAGTGATAGCGGAGAAGAAGACGGATCGAGCAATTGGGTTCTGACGACGAGATTCCGCTAGCTCAATTACGTAATCAATGGCAGACTGAACAAGCGCGTGATAACGAGGAGGAGTGGCCATTGAGGTTGCGATTGCGAGGAGCAACGCTTTAGAGCAGACTAATTAAATAGAAAATCTGTGCAGGGGTTGTGTTAGACGAGTGACAGTCTGGGGTCGATTCTGCAGTTATCATCGGCGTTACGCGGGCCGCGTGGAATGGCCCCTCCGCGGACTCGGCGCTGGTGTGGTGTGGGTTGGTCCTGGGATGTGTCACTCCACAATGCAGCCGTCTGTCGGAAAATATAAATAGATAGACTGTTCTCTCCGTCTCTTTCAGACATGGACGAGGGAAGGCTCTGGGCGCTGGTGATGCTGATTTTGACTGCTAATGCCTGGGAGCACAGTGAAAATACCGTGTTTAAGAAGACGAGCGAGGTGATCATAACTAAATCAAAGTGGTTAATCACGTTAGTGATTGATTTACAGCCATATGAATTGCTACTAGCCCAGTTAAGGGTCGAGGTAGATAAGTTAGAGACAGCCAGGACACAAGTCGCCGGCGAGTATTCACAAGGTCTAAACTACCACCGGGTGTTGTACTCCTTAACTCAGGAGTCCTTAATACTTGAGAGGCAATGGAAGGAGATGAGCGATTATTTAAAGGGAATTAAGTTGTTCAGAACTAGACAAAAGAGGGCAGTGTTACCTATAATAGGTAAGGCATTAGGTGTGGTATTTGGCACGGTGTCTGAAGATGAGATATGTTTGATCAAGAGGAAACTGACGCAGGTAGATCAGAGGCAGCAGTCGATGGCTCTTTTAGTTAAGGAAAGCGTATCGATACTTAATGTTACTAGGTTGGAAGTGGCTAAGAACAGAGAGAGTATTAATTGGTTAATTGCCTACCTACATGATCTTAGGCAAGAGCTGGCGAATGTAACCACAACTATAACAACTGGGTACCAGGACCTGGAGGGTTTCTTGCATCTCCAGTTGTTAATAGTGAATAGGGTGAGCCAAACCAGTCATACGTTAACAGTGCTGTTAGAACATGTGAGAGCACAGTTAGATATGCTGTCTATGGGACACCTATCCCCGAGTATAATAACAGCAGAACGACTAAGGGTGGTACTGCTGGAAATACAGTCCAAACTCTCCCATCATCTTGGTTTGCCGGCGAACCCCACTCAACAATTATGGAAGTATTATAGTGCCTTGGGATGTGTTACCCTGTTAGAAAGAAGTAAATTGCTAGTACTAGTGTCAGTTCCCCTATTAAAACGATACAGCACTTTCGAAGTTTACCAGGTATTAAATCTGCCCCTTCCTTACCAACCCCAAGGTTAGATGCAGTGGCTAGGTACAAAGCAGAGACAGAATTCATCGCTCTAAACAGCCAGGACAAAATTTATGTTACTGACAAGGGAAGAAGCCCAGAGATGCGAGAATAATGCTCTGGGCACTTGTGCGTCTGCAAGTCCCATTTACATTCCCAGGTAGCCATGAATTGTGTGTGATAGACTTATTTAGAAAAAATAAGAAGGGAATTAGAGACCATTGCCAGGTAGATATACTGACTGTTGTAATGTTACCCGCAGCTGTTAGCATTGCAGACGGGATCTGGGCAGTTGCCACTCAGGGTGAAATGGAGCTCTCTAAGGTCTGCGAGAATGAGGTGACAACGACAATGAGAGTTATCCCCCACCCTTGACCATTTTAGCTTTACCCCTTGGATGTAGTGCACATGGGCTGACCCTGTCCATACCCACTACTATCAAGCAGAAGAGAGGGAATGAGACGTTGTTGAAATTGATAGGATCAAATGAAACTGGATGGGCTGAATTATGGGATCCAATTACGAAAGAGTACCCTCAGTTTTCGTTAAGGAAAATGCCGGGGTTACTGAAACCTGTTGATAAGATTGATTTCGGGCGACTGAATTTAGAACTAACCAGGCTGAGTTGGCAAGATTCGGACTGGAAAGAGAAAATGGTTACCATAATAACCTGGCCAACTGTTGTGGGGATTATATTAATTATGGTTTCAGTTGGTGATGGTGGTGATGGTGGAAAAAGAGAAGTGAGACTGTCGAGTGTGGAAGTCGAACTGGCAGAAAGTGGAAGTGCGGAGCGTACTGGGAACCCAATTGGTGCGCCTTACCAAGACCGGCTCGACTGAGATGAATTAGAACCTGCAACAGCTGCTGTGAGAGAATTGGAAACCATAAAAAGTCTAACGAGGCCTGTGGTGAAGACCCGGACCAGTCGTAAGACAAGGTTGTGAAAAGAAATAAAAGGGAATAACTAAGTAAAATATGTAGTTGAAAAAAAAAACATGAGTGTTTAATTTTGGAAAAAAAAATGTGTGTTTATTTTTTTTTTTAAAATGATGAGTGTTCAAAAGGGAAAAAATCTATATAGATACAATATATATGTAGATGAATGAAGAGATAAATGAGTTGGTGAATATATGGGAGCATCCCAAGTAGTGAACTGGATGAAAATACTAACTATTGTGAGATCAATGAGAACATATTCTCATAGTAGCCCAACTTATTTTTATTCACATTTTTTTGCATGTGAAAATCTGAACAATGAACCTGATTCAGTGAAATCTTCACAATGTGCTTTATAAAGAAGCCCTGAAAAGAAACAGAAAAGGACTCAGAACACTATATCTCGACTTCGTATTTTCTTGTCTGTTCTTGTTCGTGTTTTTATTTCTAGAATTGTTCGCAGTTGAAGTCAGACCGGATCGCCGGAGGACCATGAACTTCGAGGAAGGATAGCTGAACAACCCTGTTTCTATTGTTGTTTTATTCTGTGTGACGCCTCATATGTCATTTACTATGAAATGGCAGATGGGTACGGGAGGAATTGTTACACAGAGATCCCCCACCACCACCAGGTGGGTTTATTAATCAACGGTTCTAAAGGATTGGGAAGAAGGTGCTAATTAGTTGGGTAGAAGGGATCCCGTAGTAATTCCAGAAATAAGTTTTTTTTTTTACTTAGTTGTTTCTGGGATTGAATTATTAATTAACTAGGTGAATTAATTCTAGAGTAATTAATGGACGGGTTCGTTAGGTAAAGCTTGTGTTAAATGGTGAATTGGATTTTGGGTGGTCTGCCGGGCGAAATCCAGTCAGAGCCCTCAGACGAGATAACTGCTTTTCGCCGGGCTTCAGTGGACGTTGTCTGCGGAAAACCCAGCAGGGAGACCGAATCCGATTTTAGTACCTCTTGAAAACTGGGTTCCCGCGGAGCTTCGCAGATCCGGCGGAAAACACATGGTGGTCCAGGCGATTTGCCTATTAAAATTCGTGGGCGGTGCCTAAAAACTGTTTAGCTCCGCCTCTCTCTATATATATAAGCGGCCTGCAAGCTTGGGTTGAGTAGATGAGATCGGAGATCAGATCGGATAGGATCGGAGAACCCGTCGGAACGCGAGAGAAGCGGTAGACACGGCAGGGAGAGAGGGCGAGAGAGACCGCAAATCCGAAATCGCAGATAAGAGAACGCGAAGGAAAACGCGGCGGAAACGGCTTAGTGGGTTTGCTGATCTGGCCAGTTGGTTGCATGCGTCAAAAGTCCGAATCGTATCCAGAGATAGAAATCGAACCCATACGAATCCTGATAACTTCGTCAACAAACCTGAGAAAATCCGACTGCTATATCGGAGGTTGCAGACGAAGAACCACGATTAATCTCCCTTAGTACAGCCGAATTTCGACCGACATAATAATTGTGTCTTTCTCTCTCTGTGACGTTCCGAGCGGGGGAGGACCGGGTGGTTTACTTTTCGGCCTGAACCACTGGAGGAGACAGGATATATATATATATATATATATATATATATATATATATATATATATATATATTGTTCAGATTTTCACATGCAAAAAATGAATAAAAATAAGGCTCGAGCGAACTGGGCTCGAAAAAACAGGAGGTGAGTATGAAATATGGACGATTCTATAAATGTTTCGATGTTTATTTGTATCATCTTCTGAGAATGATCTGTTTCAGTGTTTTTTCTGACGGTTTACTCGTTTACAAAATCAATTACAACTGTTTATCTAATATAGATTACTTAGAAACTTGTCTTTCGATGTTACTTTCGTACATTACACTTTGAAATTGTCAGTTAGACAATGGCAAAATAATATTTCTGCCAACCTTGTGATGTGAATAATGTCCTTACCCTTGAACCACATCGATGTTCGAAACAAGATATGTGACCACATGCTGTTCGAGTTTAATCAACACCACGATCTTTAGCATAAATAAATTATACGCAAGGGAGACAACTCCTTATTTTCTACAGTTATCTATCTTGTCTTCTATTATATAAAATTCGTCTCAGAAATTGCGCAAGGGGTTACTGAGTGTGAAAGAATATGAGAAAAAAGACAAAAAAAACATTATTAAGTAGAGGTTAGGGTTACGGTTAGGGTTAAATAAACAAATGACAAGTATTAACAAAAAAAAAGAAGCAAACTTAAAAGAACAAAATTCGTCGCAGGATGTGAGCTGTGCTAGTTAAAAACCTTTTAGAGATTTCTTAGAGAGATGGTACGGAAGGGTCTTTGTTTATTTGTTGTTGAGTTCCTTTCTTTAGTAGAACCAAAGCTCCAGCCACAACAGGAACAGTTTTAATTTTTAAGGGCCAAATTGCCTTTCTATTTCCATATGCAAGTCTTTACCTTTGCTTAGCTTTTCAAAAACTTTTGGAAGCCTTTTTGTCACTTAGTATGCTCATGGTAATCAGTGTGAAAACTTTTTATTTACTGTCTTTGATAGTAATGCTTTGTAATGTTTGATCTGTGTTGATTGAAAAATCCCAGTGGATGGTAACATCTATTCCCTCAACAACCGATTCTGGATGATGTTCATACCAGTTTGCAGGTGTTTTTATCCTGTAGTGATGACAAGTCTTCCAATGCAGATACTAACCTACTCTGCCATGACGGTTTTTGTATTCATTGGGTGCGAGTACTGAGCATTTCTGATATTAGGTGATCAATAGTTTCAATGCATTTGCTACAGAACCAACATTTTGGGGCCGTAATATTATGGAAGCTATTAGCTTGGTAGCTGGGTGCAAACAAGCTCTATTCTTGCTTACCAAGAATAAACTGTTCAATCTGACGCTTCAGACATGAACTCCTTAGCCACGATTATTTGCGAATTGATCTACATCAACATTTTTGCTTCGGAGAAGGAACTGCCAGTATAGAGGCTTTTGGCGCTAGCTTTCTTGCATTTGCTTTTGGCCAAGATTTGTTTTGTTTCGGTTTTCTTGTTAATTTTGTGGCAATTGTATCTACTTCACCGCAAAATTTAACACAATATTATTATTATTATTATTATTATTATTATTATTATTATTATTATTTCCTTTGTTTTCTGTTGTATACACATTTCTTTCTGGCTCACAAGCAGAGAACTAAGGTCAGAAATGGCTTCATGAAATTTTCCACTGATCATTTTTGTAAAAAAATACTAATAATAAAAAATAAGATCACACATATTTTATATAAATAACGCCTTTCGTAAGGTGTGAGCTGTACTTGCAAGTACAAATTTTAGTATTTTTAAGGAATGGGCTACCAGAAATCCCTTCACTGGGTGTATCGGAACATTTTCCAATCAATTCCAAGGCTCCATCTACAACTGGAATTTCTGATGTCACCATGTGCTTCCTTTTTGAGATTTCCACTTCAAGATCCTTGTATTTTGATAATTTTTTGTAGATCTTCAAAGATACATTACATTCTGCAGGGTCTGTCATGTCAGTAAGAAAGCACATTCTGGACTTTGATAACGATGTCTGGGCTTTGATTGTTCTGTCTATGTGAATTGTAAAGTCACATAAAATGTGACAGGTTCTATTTATGTAACCGGATCTGGGTGGTGTTCTTGCAGTTTCTTTCCCGTAAAATTTGCATATTTTCCAGGGCTGATATAGCCCACTCTATGCATCGCAGAATCTGCCTTATTATTATTATTTTTATTTCCTTTGATTTCTGGCGTGTGCACATTTCTTTCCGGGATCCGCCCAGAGACCTAATGTTAGGAATGGCATCATGACACTTTCCACTCACATAAAAAATAAAAATAAAATAAAAGAAATGAAAATAAAAGATAAAAATATTTTACATAGATAAAGCCCTCCATAAAGTGTGGGTTGTACTTGTGAGAAAAATTGTTTGTATCTCTTTGAGGCATGTGCTTCCAGGAATCCCTTCAATTAGTCTACTGGATCTTTTCCAACCAATCCTAGGGATCCAACTACAACAGGGATTGTTGATGTCCCCATGTGCCACATTTTTGAGATTTCTATTTCAAGGTCCTTGTATTTTGACAGCTTTTTGAATATCTTGAAAGATACATTGCAGTCTGCAGGGACTGCCATATCAGGCACTTATTTGTTTGCAGTCTTTAATAACAATGTCTGGGCGGTTGGCTTTGATTGTTCTGTCAGTGTGTATTGTGTAGTCCCATAGAATTGTATCAGGTCCTATCTCCGTAACCGGGTCTGGGTGGTGTTCATATCAGTTTCTTTCAGTTTTCTTCCTGTAGAATTTATTATTATTATTATTATTGTTGTTGTTATTATTGCGCAGCACATGGAAATCAACCCGAGGGCTTCAACTACAACTGGAATTATTGATGTCCTTATGTGCTTACTTTTTGAGATTTCCACTTGTATCTTGATATTTTTTGAAGATCTTCAAAGATACATTACAATCTGCAAAAACTGCCTTGTCAATAAGAAAGCACCTTCGGTTTTTACGATCTTTGATCACGACTGCTCACTTCTTCTTCTTATTATTATTATTATTAGTAGTAGTAGTAGTAGTAATAGTATTTGAGCATAACAGCTAAACACATAACAAAAGTTGCAGCAACATAATAGAAATATGTAGCCACAGTGTATACGTCTTACATTATCATTAAGCCATAAATATATTTGGGAATTACAAGAATATTCTGGAATTTATGATTCCTGACTTTTTCCAGATTACCAATATTTACCGGACCAGCCGTGATCAAGGGAATACTCATTGACTAACTTACCACTGTCTATTGTCACTTAATTGTATCAAACCGATGATGTTACTGTCTTTCCTATTTGTCTGCTTCGCATTTTCTTTTGGGGATTACTGTCAAAATAAATTTCCAATATTATTCCTCTTTTACCTCCCTTCACAGTCTCTTCTTTAAATAAGTGATAAAATAGGTTTACAGGTAGCACAACTTAGACACTCTAATCATGAGGTCAAAAGACTCCAACAACTCATTAATATTGTTGAGAAACTTTCTATATCTACGTCTAAATTTAAACGAGCTCGTGATTGAGAAAAGTGATCTTTAGTTTCCAAGCTTAAAAAAGAAGAAAGAAAAAATTGCTAGAATAAAAAACTTACTCTCCTTACATTTTCCCAGGCCAATCTGGGTGGACCTGGGAAAAAAAGTAATTATTTTCTGATGTTTTATACCTGGTGTATATTTTTTTACTTGATTATTTTCATTGTGTTTTAAAGAATTTTTTAACACAATATTTTCGCCATTGTTCAGAAAATAACGCGAATATATTAAAACACAATGCTTAAAAATACTATCGAATTACTTCCAGGATTTTTCTGAAAAACATTTAACATTTTTGCTGAGATTCCTGGAATGTCTTACTATTGCTCCGTTAATGAGCTGCAGGCTTTTGTACGTATTTATTATTATTAATTAGCGATCTCCATATAATAATAATAATAATAATAATAATAATTACTATGGAGAATGCCGAGTGAAATAATTTAATGTCTAATAAGGGAAATTGAGTAAATGTTATTGTTAATTTTTATAATGTAATGTAATGTAATTTTCGTTAGTTTTGTTTTTTTTTAAATTAAGTTTTGTATTATATTTTTGTATTTTATAACAAAGGACAAAAAGTGTCGGTTAAGATAAGTTTTACTTTTCGTTTTTATTGTGGCACCATTTACCAAAAAAAAAAAAAAAAAAGGAAAGAAAGAGGAAAGAAAGAAAGGAAAAGAGGCGAGACCCAAACGTGGATGATAATTAGGACACCCCGACTAAGAGACAATGGATAAAGGATATTTTGATAATAACAAATGGCGAAGAGTGTCATTACAATGGCAGGGAAATTCTGAGTGGATGGGGAATCGTTTATGTTCTGGCGACGAACTGTGTTATCGGGGATAGATAAACAAACCGCTAATGCTGGAAAACACCTGATTGGCAAACCACAGACCGATTAGCCAAACAAAATCCAATTGAAAATGTTATTTTGATAATTGACAAAAAACAGGTGAACTACAGGGCTTTGGATAGATATGAAAAATTAATTGTGTCAAAGCCGCACAACCGAGGTGGAACGACTGACCGTTTTCTTTCGACAGAACATTTTTAGCTGTGATAACAAACTATGTTATCAGTAATGTTCACCAAAGAATGACTGGAACCATAGAAATGTTTTTTTTTTTTGAGGACGACGGTCTGGCCGTGTTAAATAGACAACCCATTATGATAATTAGCGATAATCTGACTGACGATGTCC